AGAGCTGGGGCGAATGACCCCATCAGTGAGGATTCCGCGAAGGGAAACTCCCGGGCAATTGTGAACGAAGGTGTAGGTGGTGGTCTGAGACGAAATCTGCTGAAAGTGGTCGGTCTTGGGGTAGTCCAGCTTGAGGAGCAAGAAGAGAGCGTCATGGCATGGGAGTTTGCCCCAAAGAAATACTGGCGACTTCTCAAGAATCTGAGGAACGTGGGATAGGGTTGTGAGAAAGTCACCCAAGTTGTCACCCCGAGAGGTCGCGGAGATCCGTCGCAGGGGTAATGGTAGTAGGCGTACAAGCTCATGAAGAGTGGTGTCCAACAGTGGTCGAGGCAGAGTCTCAGGAGCTTCGCATTCTTCCCAGCTGCAAGGTCGATGAGGATCATCGATGAGAAATCGGCGAAACTGCTTCACCATGGAGAGAAGAGAAAGCCAATCATGAAATTTGTTATCCCAGATCTCATACCAGAGGTCGCCAGGGCCCGAAGGGCGAACTTGGAGCCAAAAAGGTGTGGTCCAAATTTGTTGCTGAGGACCGATGTCAATTGCGACCTCCACGATGTTGGCCATGAAATAGCCCAGCTTGGCTGAGGCTTCCAAGGCGTGGAAATCAGGTTGATGCTGAGACCATTGAAGAGACAAACGTGGGGGAGTCACTGGTCGAGTTGGGCGACGAGGAGTCGAAGCGGGCTGGTTGGAGATCGGAGGTTGGGTGGACGCTGAAGTGGAAAAGAGAGAGATGGAAAAGTCGGCGGGTTGCGTGATCGCTGGTGCTGGTTCTGGGGCGGTTGCAGAGGCCTTGGCAGGTGAGGGGTCGGTAGGTGGATGGGATGGTGGAGTTGATAAGGAGGGTGGAGGTAGGAAGAACTGGTAGGGGGAAAAGAAAGGATTGAAGGAGGACTGGAGGAAGGCTTGCTGTTGGAGGTGATGAGCGGCTTGTTGTTGTTGTTGCTGAAATTGAAGGCGGAGTTGGCGAAGTTCCTCTTGCTCAGAAGTAGGAAGGGTGGTGAGTGGTGGAACTGGCGGAGGTTGAAATGCCTGTGGTGGAGTCGTAGGTCTTGTGGCGGATTTCGGTGGTGTAGGTTGGTCGCCAGGTCCAGGAAGTAGCCTCAAAGGAGTAGCCACCGAAGAATCCCGGTCGGAGGTGGCAGGAGGAATGGCTGTTTGGTCTGCCCGCGATCGATCGCGATGACGGCTGGAGTGATGGGAGCGGGGACGGTTGGATGTGTGACGATGCTCTCGTTGGTGTGTGCGAGAGCGGCGTCGCCGAGAATGTGAACGGCGACGGTGACGGTCGTCCCGTCGGGAGCGTGAGGCTGCATGAGAGCGGTGTCGATGTCCCCGTCGTCGGCGAGAATGGGCTGAGCGGCTCCTGGGAGAACGACGTCGATCATGGTGCCGTGCGATTGGTGAACGGGTCGTTCGCGAGGTGTGTCTAGGAGGTGGTCGTGGTCCATATGGATTGAGGGGCGGTGGGCCCGTGGCACGTGGTTGTGAAAGTGGAAAACGTGGGCGTGGTGCAGGGACTCGTGGAGGTGGAAAGAAGGAGTCAGAAAGATGTGCAGGTGGTGTGGGAGGGAAAGGCACAGGATTTGTGGGTGTAGTGGAAGTGGGAATGTTGTGTTGAGAAGGGTCACCCACGGTGGCCTCGGAGTGTGGTGTTGGTTCTGGTGGGCCGCTGGCGATCTCAGTGCCGGGTGGTGGGTGAAGGGGCTCGTCATCACCATAATCGGGTTCATCCATTGGAGGTCTGGTATCCCTGGAGCGAGAACCGCGTCGATGTTCACGTCGTGAATGATGGTGAGTAGATTCCAAAGAAGAACCAGAGCTCACCATGAGGTCCAAACCGCCCGAAGATAGAAATTAGAGAACTGTCAATGGCAAAGAAATTGTCAATAGCAAATTGTCAATGGCAAAAGAAAAAACCATGAAAGGAAATCAGAGAATCACCATGTAGAAGCTGATGACAAGGTCTGGAGCCAAAACAGGAAGAAAATGCGATCGTGAAAAACAAGAGGTGAAAATGGCGCATAGTGTAAGACATTCATTTTGAGCCGCCTGGCATGGTGTAAGGTGAAACTGAGAAGCTAAGATCTGGTCGTCCGAGGGCGAGAGCGAGATCTCGAGCGCATGTGAAGACGAGGTCGTGGAAGATGGCGAGAAGGAAGAGGACTGGGAGAAAGAGGCATCCGAGTAGTAGTGTTGTGGGTTCTGGTAGGTCGCGATGAGGTTGTGGTAGGTTGGGGCGTGTCGGAGCGAGTGGAAAGGGATGCACGATCGCCAAAGTCAATGCGGCCTTCAAGTTCGTCTTCTAGTTGTTCCGGGCTCTGTTGAATAATATGAAGGAGGCCCATGGCGGTCAGGAGCTCGTGGGTGTAGTGGACCGCGGTATGGTTGAGGCGAAGAGCGAGAAGAAGTGTGTTGTCCAAACCTTCAAGATGAGCTCGAAGTTGTGGGTGGGTGACCCGAGACATGAACGGAATAGTACGAATACTGAGTGGTATATGGAGCAGGGCATGCACCTGGGCCAAAAGGACATGTACGAGTAGAAGTTCACGATGAAGCATCGCCTGAGCACGAGGTGGGAGACCGTGGATTGGTGCCAAACCACAAGGTGGTGTAGATGTCGAAGCCATGGCAGAAAGGCAATAAGCACAAGAGGAGCGATACGAGCGGTCGCTAGTGAGCCGAAGATAACATAGAAAAGTGGTAGGAGCGAAGTCGGCGAAAAACGAAAGCGAAAGTAGTCGATTGATCCAAAATCATAAAGCAAAGGGCAAGAGGACCTTTTTCTGCAAAAGCGTGTTGGGCGGTGAGTGAGAAAAAGGCTAAAGTCGAAGCGTCGTGGAGGGGATCGTGAGCGAGAGAAGGTGGAGCGTGGCCTCCTCGTCAAGGTCGAAGGTGGAGCTGGAGGAGGTAGAGAAGGAGGAGAATCGAGAGGATGAGAGGGATCCGTAGTCGTAGTCATCGTCGTCGTGCCAGGCGGAGAAGGAGGAGAAGGAAAAACGATCAGAGGTGGGCGGCGGATCGAAGAGGTGGATGTAATAGATGTAGAAGAGGAAGTCAAATGGCTACCAGAGTGTGGAAGGCCCAACGTGGAGCAAAGTTCCTCGGTGTAGACCAGTGTAGTCAAGGTAGATCGTCGAATCTGCTCAATGCTGGTCTCCAATGCTCGAAGGGTGGCGCTGAGACGAGGGCAGGTAATCGTGCCCACAATGGAGGGAGTAACGGAATCCAAAGGTCCAAGCAAGAGAAAAAGAATCAAATGTAACGAAGAATGTATGTGAAGAAGTTCACGATGAAGTACCTCATGAGCAGCAGTAGGCAATCCGGAGATGGAGGTCAATACCGTAGGTCCAGTCGGTGTCGTCGTGGATGGCATCGACATGGCGGCGAACAGGGAGGAGGAAAGCGTATAGAGCGTGAGGAAGCTGAGAGCCACAGAAGATGGAAAATTGAAAAATTGAAAATGAAAAGTGTGCAAAGGTAAGAGGAAATGTCGTGAGGTTCAGGAACAAGTGTGAAACACAAGAAGGACATTTTCTCAGGTGAGCGGAAGAGTGGACATAGAAAAGGCTAGAGATTTCAACGGTTCGAACGAGAGTGAGACCGAGAACGTGACAGGGCTGTACTGGATCGATTGATAACAGGTCGACGAGGAGCACGGGGTCCCGGGGTTAGTGGTGATGCCGTCGGAAGAGAGCTGGTAGATGTCATACTCCGAGTCGTAGTGGGAACCCGAGGAGAAGCAGGAAATGACGGAAGCCGGGGGTCAGGGAAAGTAGAACATCCTCGTAGTTCAGCGTCAACTTGAGCGTTGTCGCAACTTAGAGCATGCATCATCCCAAAGGTGGTAAGGAGTTCTTGGATGTAGTGCACCCCATTGTGGATGGCCTGGGTCGCCTGTCGAATGGCTGAGTCCAAGCCTCGGATCTGGAGCTGAATATGCGGTGAAGTAATGTAGTCCATAAACGAAGGCTGAAGGATAGCAAAGCGAGTGCGTAGAAGGGAGGTGGCGAGAATCAATAAACCATGTAGATGAAGAATCTCTCGATGTAGGATAGTCTGAGCTCTCATCGCGATGCCGTCCACAGGGGAGAGACCAGCCGAAGAAGGGAACATGGCAAAAGGAGAAGGATCAACTGAAAAGCTAAGGCTCCCACAGGTTCCAATGAACCTTGAACAAACTTTGGCCGCTGCGGCCACGTACGCCGTGCCAACTTGGCTGGCTGCTTTGACCGCTGCGGTCACGTAAAGGCATGAGCCAACTTGGAATTCCAAAGATGGGACAAAATTCATCGGACGTACGGCCTAGGCCACCTGCTGTCCGCTCCGGACACCTACCTCTCCAAAGCAAGGGAGAGAAAGACGTACACCCGTTACGGGAGGCACTCTGCGGGCTCATCCCGGGTTGGCACGAAGCCAAACACACTCATGGATATGCGTACTGATGTGAATGCGGTGCCACACGCCGGCCTAGGGTTCCAATTCCTAAGAGTACCAGTAGGAAACCATCGAATCCTGGTGGTCTGAAAAGGAAAGGAGGCCCAAAGCGCAAGCACCAAAACGACGAAGTCGATCCGACAGAGTGACGGCGTTCCGTGTAGGTCTGCAGCAACAAGAAATGCATGTCAGTGAGGTTCTTGGCTTAGCCTCTCGCCATTCAAAGTGGAAAATTGCAGGTACACAAGAAGGCAGAAGGCGTCCCTTCTCGCTTCACCAGTTGTGAGTCCGTCTTCGTTGGTCCAGGGACAACTCACAACTGCCTGGACCCCCTGCGGAAACTGAAAAATGCAAAAGCAACCCTATGATTCCAAGGGGTACACACACACACGAGGTGGGCAGTTTTGGAAGACCATCTTGCGAGAAATAGGCCCTGAGTTGCAAGGGGGCGAGGGACAACTGGTGTCAATCATAGCCCTGCAAAGAGGGTTGGCTTTAGGAGCGGGCAACTAGATTCTCCCGGTTCAGTATATGACTCCTGCAACCCATGTCGCCAGGCGCTCCAATAGCTTTGCTGGACATGGGAAGTCCTCCCTGCAGTGCCCGAACCATGCGCAGGAGTCTGCCTTTTGCCTGAAGCTGGTGGAATGGGGGGTCATTCGCGCACTTGACACCACCCAAGGTGCTGTATTCGGGTTACTTCGCGGCGACATTTGTTCGCACCAGTGGCTCTCAGACAGAGGGTCAAAGATGTCCCTATAATTAGCCTATTTTTGGACCCGTTGACAAATAGTTTGGTTATGTCTGTTTGCAAGCATGGATCTATTTTCAAGGGGTCCAGGAGTAGAGTGAATATATATATATATAATATATATGTATATATTGTATATATGTACACAATAAACCACACAATGTGCATGATGGAGACAAGACTTATATACAGATGAGCGTTCATGAAGTGGATGAATAGGATACAAGAATAATCTACCATCTCTATAATTTCTCTTTGTTTGGACCCTCTCACAGAATTGTTTAGTCACGCCTTACTTGCAATTTGCAAGCATCGTTGGATAGATAAGTCGACACCCTTGAAATTGTACATCTTTCAGAAGGTCTAAATGAAGAAACACGTCTATTTATTGTTGTTTCACGCTAGGATGTCGTATACATGTCTCACTTTACTATCGTTTGGCTCAAGGAAAACCAGGTGCGACTTGTTGGTAGTTATCGGTCGTTTACCTGTATCTACAGGTTATCAGCCGTATCGCCATAAGTGCGGTACGTGCTTTCTACTAGCTGTGGTCTCACCCCACCCTAGGTAGTGCACTATCTAGAGGCCATGGCTGATGATGATGGTTCCCGTGGTGACCGCTCACGATCAGGCTACGTTCCTACTTCGCCTGCGATGTCCAGTTCACCTGCTGCTGATCTCCCTGTTGTTCCGCTGGAGTTGCGTGTACCAATTGCGCCACCAACGTTCAGTGCACAGGGGGACCTGTTGCCTAGTGGTCAAGCACCGTCGCCGTTTCAACCTGAGTTTTCTCCTGTGATGAATGTCCAGAACGTTGATGCAAGACAGATCCATCAACAAGCAGTCTTCGTCAATGAGGACAGGTCAGCACAGGTAGCTCAGATCGCAGAATTGCGACATCAGGCCATTTTGGCCGAGCACGGGCAACAAGTAGCTGAGGAGGCTAGGCACTTTAGAGACGTAGTGGAGAACCAAGCTAAAGTGGCTGTCCAGGAGTCTAGGGAACAGATTGAGGCTTTAGCCAATCAACGATTGAGTGACATGAACCAAGCCCATCAAAATCAACATCTTCAAGAACAACGGGCTTACCTAGATCGTCTTTCGCTCGAACGACACACCGTCGTTGAGAACGAACGCGCCTCTGCCAAGCAAAGAGAGGATGCACTTCGGTCAGAGTTAGCAGAACAGAGTCGAATCATCAAGGAGTTGAGAGAGAGGTTTGACAACGCCTCGGGGAACCGAGTGCCTGCACCATCAGTGCAGCCACCTGGGTCTCAGGCGTCCCCAGCTTTGCCTCCAGCGAGCCTTCGCACTCAGTTGGAGAAGCCCGGGATCGAAGGCGGTGATGAGCCTCATCCATCCGATGCTGATGAAGAGGGTGGTGACAAATCAAAGAAAGACAAGAAGAAGAAAGGTAAGGATAAGAAGAAAGAGAAGAGCCCTAAGAGGGGCCGCTCGAGGGAGCGCAGGAAGAAACGCTCTCCTTCCCCATCACCATCGTCACCCAGTTCATCAGGAGAGAGTGATGACTCAAATGACTCAAGCTCTGAATCATCGCGTCTTGCACGCATCATTCGCAAAGAGTTGAAGAAGCAGCAAAGGAAGTCGAAAGACAAGGATCATGAGAGTAAAGCCAAAGAAGCTGACAAAATTCTCATTCCCAAGTTCCCCACGCCTGAGAAGTACAGAGACTGGAAGATCAAGGTGAGGGACAATATTGCTGCAGCTTCAGCGAAGCCGGATGAAGCAAGATCTTGGGTTGGGAAAGTATACAAAGATTCCCAAACCATTGATGCCTTGGATGATTCAGAGGGATTTGCAACCCTCGACGCAAAGCTTCTTGCAAGCTTAACCAATTGCGCTGAGGGGGACCTCGGTCGGCAGATTGCTACATTCAAGGAGCTGCGTGCTCGTGAAGACAAGAACGTGAAGGGTAGACACTTGCTCCTTCGGTTCCACGAGTATTTTGCCACAAGCATAAAGCATGGAGCAATCTACGGACTCGAAGACCTCATGTCCGTCAAAATGGTCAACGATGACCTCAAGGGCTTTATAAATAAATGGGATAGCGTTCTTGCCGGAATGAAAAAGGAACCAGAAAACAGTGTTCTGGAAGCCTATTTTCACCTGGCAGTGAAGCGTTTCAAGCCGCTTGAGCATGACTTGGCCTTGTACGACCGTGCAGCCGATGGAAGCAAAGAAAGAACATATGACTTCCTGATCACTGCTGCCCGGGCCTACCTCGAACGGAAGAGGTTGGAAAAGATGCGCGACGCCACGAAGCGTTCGCTCGGGTCCAAAGACACAACCATGCCAGCTCCGGAGGAGAAGAAAGGCATCTGCTACGAGTTCCAAAAGACCGGAAAATGCAAGCGCGGATCATCATGTCCTTACAAGCACGAAAAAGGCCGCGAGAAAAGCAAAGGAAAGGGAAAGGGCAAGGATCGCAGCCAGTCTCGGTCAAGATCGCTGACACCAGGATCTCGCAAGGAGACTTGCAAGTTTTGGAAGGCAGGACATTGCCACCGAGGAAAAGACTGCGCATTCCAACACCCTGAAAAGACTGTCCCTGCGAAGAAAGAGGACAAAAAGAAGAAGAAGAAGAAAGACAAGAAACCTCGCAAGCGAAGCAGCTCACGAGGATCATCAGGCTCCGAAAACTCAACTGGCTCTGAGAGTCAGAGGAGAAAAGGTGGGAAGTCTTCTTCTTCCAATGCACCGGCAGCGGTATGCCTCCTTCGAGCAGTGGTCATGGCCGCAGTGGTCTCTCAGGGATCCTCCGTCCTCATCACTCGCCCGCTGGGAAGCGTGGCCATGCCAGTCCTTTCCGCATCAAACACTATGTGCACCGATTTTGACAACACAGAAAACATTGACAGTTTTGTTACGCAAAGAGTTCGTTTTGACGATCAACCAAACGTTTTCAATCATGCTGTTGAGTCTTCTTCCAGTTGGAGATCCGTTCAACCCCGGAGTAAGAAGAAACGAAGACCCTTTACACCAGGTCGACCGGAGCATGCTGAGGCAGTTCGTGTCGCCACTGAGGACGCATCCATTGCAGCATCACACCTTCAGAATGCTGTCAGGAACGAGCTGTTGTCCTTGCCGGCAGAATGTTCGTACCTGTGCAACTCTGATATAGGTTGCATCAAGTGTTTTGAGAGGAGGTCATGTCCAACAGTGCCAGCCACTGAGATTGCATGGATTGCAGATACTGGCAGCGCACACGATCTTGTATCCAGACACATGCTACATTCGGATGAAGTGTCACAATCGGCCAAACCGGTCAGTCTTCTTACTGCCAACGGAGTCTTTCAAGCCACTGACCAAGCCAGAGTCAATGTCCCCGTGTTGGGAACTGATATCAATCCTTATGTCTTGGAAGATAGCCCAGCCGTCGTATCGGTAGGACAACGCTGCATCGACGCAGGATGGAGCTTCCATTGGCCCGCTTATAGTAGGCCGTACTTCAAGAAACCAGACGGAACCAAAGTCAAGCTTGAAGTAGAGGATTATGTTCCATACTTGCCATCCACCACAGGTGTTGCAATGTCCGCCATAGGTCAACCTTACGGTACGAACGATCGGTCAAAGGGGCTGCGACCAATGATCCCTCTGCCCGCGTCACCGGCTGAAGAGGCAATTGAAGTCCAGGATGATGAGGACAACCCCATCGGCGAGGATCCTGTTGAAGATGATCCCGAGCCAGTGGATGAAAGGTTGGTGGAGAAGCCGTTGGACCCGAAGAGGGATAGGGGAGAGAAAGCTCTCAAGGAAGAAGCACAATCCATTCAACATCTGTTGACTCATACCCCGAAGAACCCCTTTTGTCAAGCCTGCTCGAGAGCAAAGATGACCAAACGTCCATCGTATAGCGAGGGTGGTTCAACCCAGGTAGAGGCGGATCATTTCGGACAACATTTGACTGCTGACCATCTTGTTATTCGTGACGATGAGGAAATGGACATTGATGGGGCTCGCGTCGCATTGGTCGTGAAAGATGTGGCAACGGATTTCAGATATGTCTATCCGGCCGCACGTCGATCAACACGTGAATGTATAGCAGCCTTCAAGCATTTTGTCCGTTCGACTGATGATGTAGGAGTATTTTATTCCGACAATTCACCAGAACTCATCGCGACTGCCGAAAGGCTAGGATGGAGACATCAAACCAGCTTTGCATACGTCTCTAAGACCAATGCTATGGCTGAAAGATCGATTCGGTCCGTCATCGATGGAACAAGGGTAAACCTAGAGCAAGCTGGCCTACACCATCAATATTGGGCTCACGCTGCCAGGCATGCATGCATGGCAAACAATATCGTCGACACCCGGGAGGGTAGTTCGCCTTGGTCGCTTCGGTTCGGTGAGAAGTTCACAGGCCCTTTGGTTCCCTTTGGGTTGAGGATTGATTACTGGATCGGCCCCAAGAACAAAGCCAAGTCCTCTCTCAGGTTCGAGCCGACGTCAAACCCAGGGATATTCTTGGGATATGCCGTTCAGTCCAATTTTGTGTGGAGAAAGGAGTTCATGGTTCTACCATTGAAGGATGTCATGGAATCAGACTTCAGTGCGGAGATTCAACCATTGAGAGTCCATCAGATTGCCGTTCCCGACATCGGATTACACTTCCCATGCAAAGGCAGGTACAACATGATAAGAGAAGGTTTGTACCCAGGCATTTCGATTTCGAGCAATCCGCCATCAATTGACGATGTCAAGGCTGCAAACATTGAAGAGCTTGTCGATCAGGAGGTTTTGAAACATGCTGTTGACCAAGAGTATGAACCTGATGAACCACCAGAACTCCCTGACGTGCTAGTTGACGATGCACCCATCGCCGCTCGCGGGTCGGGAGACCTTGCCG